GTGATAGGGTCTTACACACACATAATATCGCTGTGTCTTTTTTAGTGGCAATTCAGTTCCCTTGAGATAGTGTGAAGGTAAGGAATGGAGATTTAGAACTGAAGTTCCATTTCTTAGACCTATTTCTAACATGTATCTGCCTCTGACACGTCTCATCGTCATTTTCCATCATCATCCAGACATGCCAAATCGCATTGCAAAATTACTCAGATGGAGTTCTGATTTGTAGAAATCGAAGGCTAAATAAAGCCAATGTAATAAAAGTGTAACAGAACATCTTGTTTGAATTTTTAACTATGGCGATATTAATATTTTCTCGAAGTAAGCATTGATGCAAAAGTGGAAGATAAATAATGGACACGGTTATCTTAACTTATGTACACGATACGTAAACTAAATTCAGTTATATATAGCTGAAATAATCTACACTTTTGATACATTGCAATCGGCTAAGAAAAATTCAGTTTTCGAGATACGAAGAGGCTGATAACGAGGCGGTGACTTAGTGAATGGGTGATACCGTTTATAAAAGTATTGAAATAGAGCCGTTCAAGGCGAGAACCTTGGTAAATTGCAGAAGAGATTATAATTCTAGCAGATGAGGATTTATAAACATGAAACTTTTAAACCACCCGTCAGATAACTTTCGAATCATGATAGTAAGTTTCCTCTGCAATCTATCGTGAACAGATCATACAGCAAAACGGATCCAAAGTTCTATTCTGCTAAATATATTATAAAATAGTAAACAATTCTTTTCCTTTCAAGAAAAGTTGAAAATTTCGTTCTAGCAAATATCGTTCTATTTTGAGGTTGAAGTAGCCTCACAGGTAGAAGTACGAAAACGTTGTCGCTGTAAGTATGGACAATTCTATAATAATTAGCTGACAAACAGTAGAAATGGTAGAAAAATATTTGTAACATTTCTCTTTTTAAAAAGTGACTTTACAAATAAAATAAAGACTCGATTAAAGGGAGTATTTCTTCACTACCACGACACAAAAACTCAAAGTTCATATCGTTCAGCGATTCCAAACACAAAAATCTTTCAAAGAAAACTCGCAGAAAACTCTAAGAAAAACGCCAACTTCAGAAACTTATATTTCTCAAAAAACTTATCAAATATCAAAACGATGACTTAAACTTCGCCTACTATTGCGTGGACCATAAAATATCTCAATTATAACACCCTACCTTCCCCAAAAAAGTATAGAATTCTCATAAACACGCAAAGACTCATCGAACTTTGGCAACCCCTGGACCTAGAGCTAACTCCTAGTCAGATCCAAGTAGATTCAAGTAGATTCAAGTAGATCCATAAAAATTTCAATTATAACACCCTACCTTCCCTACATACACTCAGTGTAAGAAGTATCCGTACAGGAACAAATTTGTGGCGACATAGGAGACTCCGAGTGGAAAGTAGGCATCTTGGCGACATCTTCGGCCGTCTGCACCGTCGAATCAGAGAGTCATAAACAAATAAATCTTGACTTTGGTGCGCTGACTCGACGGTCATTCGACACGGACAGGAGGAAGCCCTTATCCCTTTCCACTCGGAATTTTCCATAGGGTTTTTCCCATGGTCGCCACGGTACGGACAGCCGAACGTTATTACGGAGATAGTCCGTTCTTGGCTCTGTCGGAGTCGACATCGAGTCACGCTCCTGTCGGTTAATAAATTGTTTTTGTTATACACAGTGTTCTTCAGTCTCATCCGTGCAATCCCTTCAAATTTAAAATAAATGGTTCTTGTACGAATACTTATTACTAGACTGCGGATCTTTATGCAAAATAAAATCATAAAACGTGCCTACAAAAATGGAACCTAAATAGGAATTTATTTTATTCTGCAAATATTATAACATGAACTTTACTTTTAATCTTTTTTATATTTTTGCATATTGTTTACATTTTGTAGTTTCTTGCACGTTCAAATTTCCTATAAATGCATAAAGATCCGCAGTCTACTTGTTACACTGACTGTAAGTATAGAATTCTTATCAACACGCAAAAGACTCATCGAACGTTGGCAACCCCTGGACCCAGAGCCAACTCCTAGACAGATCCAAGCAGATCCTGTGCGCGTGATTTAAAAAAAAAAAGAAGCAGTGTTAATACACGTAGGCAGATATACGTGGAAAAGGCATCCAGCTAGAGGAGATCCGCGCGGAATTTCCCTGGCGGCGCCGATAAATCAGCTCTGGTTGGCCGCTTAACGACAATGGGAGCCGAGAAAACTGTTCCGCGCCATGACAGGCTGTGTCATTACTGTGTTACTTATAAGCTCCTTCGCGGCCACGTCGACCGCATACGAATGAGACCAGGGGCCCGTGGACATGCCGATTACAAAACCTCTTTTGAAAAACCGAGCTGCGGGACGGCACGCCACGTATGCGAGGATACCGAGCCTCGCTCTCGGCCAGCCGCGCGACTATTAATCGCCCATTAACATGCACGTTGAATATTGATCGATCGATCGATCGATCGGTACGTGGAAACTGCGCGGTTTCTTTCGACCAGCCTGGGATCCCACCCGTCGACCGCTGCGTTCCGTCGCTAGATCATCGAGCTTCGCGTTTTCAACTACGCGTCTTTTAGTTGAGAGATCCTCGACTTTCAGATCCTTGGGAGCCTTTAATCGAGAGACCAGGAGTCAGAATTTTGTGAATTGTCGAAGAGGGTTCAGTAGAAACATGTTGTATTGGAAATTGAAGAAATTATTCGTTTCGTTTTTTTTTTTTTTTGATACGTTTGCAAATGGGAAAGTAGCCTCACTTGATCGGAAATTGATTAAATTATTATATAATAATATACTGTCTATATTCAGTGTCCAAGAGTGCTAGCTCATCTGGATCTAAACTGGCATTTTTGTTTTTATAATGTTCGTATAATGTTCATTTATAATGCTGTGACATTTTTCGGAACAGAGTCGAGTAACACAAATTTGGAGAAAATTATTATAGATGCGATAAACAAATTCTAATTTCATACATGACTTGGACACATCAAAATTAATAATGTACATCTGGTTTTGTTCGAAGAAGGAGCATCCTTTCGTGCTGTGATATGTGATAATGTTACTATAAACTGGATACGATAAATAAATTCTAATTGCAAACATGAATTCGACACATCAAAACGATACACAAAATCCTGTTGTGCTGTGATAATAAAATTGTTCCAAAACGAATCTATCTAATCTTAAGTCTTTTTCCCTCAAAAACCTATTGATTCTATTTTAAAATCAATCTTTCTCACCCACAAAGCTATTCCATGAACACGTTGCGATCCATCGCGTCCAAACTTATGAAATCCCACCAAAATTTTCCCAAAGAAGAATTTCGCTATCTGCTATTGCAATTAATACAACGAGACAAGAAAATCTTACGATCTTCTTTCGCATGCATCGAGCGATTCTTTTCACAGTGCCATGGTCTGCCTTGCTGCCCCAAAAAGAGTCCCGTGACAGCTCAAGGAGCGAACAGTCGGTCCCATAAATAATCCTGGCCTCGATATCCATTTGACGGATCCATCGATCGGCCATGAGTTTTTCCCTCAGCCAGGGTGGCGTCGGTGTCACCGTCGTCATTCCCGTGGCCCTGGGTGGTGGTGCGTGCTGGTGGTGGGTTCATAGTATATCCGTCGCGGCTGTGGCAGCTAGTCAGACAGGTTATGGGCACCGTTCGACGGCCAGCAAACACATCATTTCTTAAGCGAGCTGAAAACTGAGTCACGCGAACAATCCCGTCAATTAAACTACGTAGTTTTGAAACGTTGGCTTGTCCTTCTCAAGTCCGAAGACCACAGAACAGAAACCATCCTTCTTCGACGCAACCAATCAGTGAAATGATGACTACAATGGTCAGCCCAATTCGCTATACAGTTCATCGAGAACAGTTTCGCATTGGAGAGGGCAAAAAGTTCTTTGTGACACCAATTTTGTCCTACTATGAGATTCTTGAGAAACAAAGTCTCTATAACTTGCATTTAATGGTCCAATACTTTGTTAACATTTCCTGGATAAACTACTCAAACAAACGATATAGATTTGCCAGTTGAACAAACAATTTCAAGCTGATAGAACCACATTTCGAGTGTAGAAATTAATTCTGAACCTTTCTAAAGTACACTTACCATTTATTTATAATAATCATATTACTTCTGATCTTCCCTCGCATATTTATAAAGAACATACGTAGTTGTAAGAACAAAATGTCGAAGCAATCCGATTCTTTTCATTTCTATGAAGCTTGATACTTGAAATCAGATTACATGAGATTTATGTGAATTAAGTATTAAAAATAAAATGTTTAAAGTATTGTTAAATTTGACTTGTAAAGCTCTCTTTTTATGTGTTATGATTGTATCGTTCAAGTTTATCAAAAATCCTGTCAAATAACTGATCAGAAGAGTTATTAATTAAAAGTATCGCTTATAATATAACTTTAAAAATTGTCTCGTAGTTTTCATTGTAAACTCCCTCCCATCGTTCGAATCATAAGCGATGCACGGATTCGTGGAACGCAGATGGGAAAAAAAATAATATGGGACAGCGCTCGTTCCAGTATGCTGTGCACACAGCCTCGCGCGTTTACGCGGCGCGCAATGGGAACGCTTGTTAAACTCGCGCGGGACGGTCGCCTCGACAATGAGAAACCAATCCGCGTGCTCACCGCCTTACGCTGCAACGGGAGGATGAAAGAATGCCACAAAACCGGCCGTAAATCCACCTCCCTCGAGTGCGTTCGCCGGCGTGAAATTAAGAGAGCAATGGCGAGAGATCGGCCACCGAGCGCACTCTCCTCTTTCATTGGGAGCTGCGAGAATCGCTATAGAATTTTGTTAGACGACCTCCATCCGACACTGTGATACTCCTGAATCGAATAGGACAAGAATGGGACAATTTTCGAAGCATAACACACTTTGTTTTTTGTGGAGAATCTTGTGGTAATTTTGGACGCTAGATTTTAGTAACGTATCGACTACTGAAATTAATTTTACATGGAATTTTATTTCATTTTGTATGAAGATTTAATTTCCGTGATATTCCTGAATAAAGAAGAAGAGAAATGAAACAATTTACACACTCGTACTCTTTATCTTTTATAGAGAATCTCATAGCACCACTACAATTATTTTAACATAGACCACTACAATTCTTTCCACATTGAATTTAATTTCTGCCCCAAAACGATTTAATTTCTTTTTCATAAGTATTTTAAGTGAAACATCTCACAACGTATTGAAGTACCCAATATCATTTATTCTTGATATTGATAGTTATCGAATGCTATTGAACAAAGAGTACAAAATTACAAGCAAAATAAAATCTCAATATATCTAAAATAATACCACTCCAGAAATATTAATAGCATGGCACCTGAAAGCACTTTAATCCTCTATGGACCGAATTTTTGTTTTCTGCAAACAACTTGCAAGGCATTTATTTTAATATTTCAAATTGTTGGTGCTGTCAACCACCATTAATATTATTAGTGATTATCAGAGATAGTATATAATTAAGACATATACGTCATTTTGTGAAAAGATTAAAATCATTTGGTAAAATGCTGATATATTAACATGTGACCTGAAAGTTAGCCAGATCCATAGAAGGTTAATCTTAGAGTAAAAGTCACGGGACAGACGAGCCTCCGAACGTTTGTATCCCCTTTGAATTCAGTGAAACAATGTACCAACACACAATAGTGTGTAGAGAGTCTATCCAAGAATGAACGTTATGGGAGTAACATTATGTTGTCGCGCATGGGTGAAGGACGTGATTCTGGTTGCAAGTTTGTCAGTGGGTAAAAAGTGGCTAGTAAAACAAGCGAAGTGTGATCGGTTATGGCAAAAGGGTGTGCAGGGGGTACAGTCGATCGAAGGGGTGGTCAATGGGGATTGGCGAGGAGCTCGTCTGCTCGGTGAACCGTGGATTAAGATAAACCCTTCATCGGTTTCTTGTCGAACGATTCTTCTCGTACGTTCGTTGCCGCGAACGCGAAGATAGCACTGGCTTAAAGTACTTTCCGTCATTCCGCAGAAATTATTTAACGCTCCTATCGCCGGCGAGGAGCCACCAAGAGTCTGGTAAAAGTGCCAGGAAAACAATTCGACCATCCACGGAATTAAACATTACGCTTATTATCCACTTTCTACGTTTCGAAATTCTCTGCCATGGCGTACGCGCATTGAATAGTTATTTTGTTGATGAGAAATTTAATTGGGACGGAAATACAAGTGGTAACTCTAGGCGTAGTTTAGTAGAATTATAATTGAGAAGTGGATATACTTTGTTGATTAGTGTAAATGTGCAAGTTTCGTCGAATAAATTGGGAATCGTTACAGAGATCCAAACTTATTAACCCTTTGCACTCGATAAGTGACTCTCGGTCGCCACTAGATTTCACGCAGCGAATCAATCAACAATAACGTTTATTGAGGTTTAATTTCTTTGAATCTCAAAATGTCAATAAAATGATTGTCGGTGAGGTAAAGGTGACCTGATTTTTAAATCTCAAAGTAGCTACATCTGCAAGGTCAATGTAAGCTTAGATTCGTGGCAATAGAATGCCTCGAGTGCAAAGGGTTAATTCCGACATGATAGTAGATTTAATATACGCTTAAATGAAAGTCTTTTAACCTAATTTCCACCTAAAAAAAACCAAGGATAACACAGTATACTAATCCTCAAGGCACCAAAACGTTTTATCCGCTCCTACTATGAGATCCCACAAAAACAATATGTCTACACTGCGCGTTTGAAAAATTTCGTTTACACCACGCTATCGACAAAAGATTTCAAAGAGCCTAATTCCAAGCGTCGACTACGCGAAGAAATCATCATAGGCCTCCGGTATCGAACTGTCCCCAAAACAAACCCAACGGCAAGAATACTATCATGCTCTCTCCTACAACTCCGTTTTCTAAAACTTTCGACGATTTGTTCCACGGAATAATCCACCTAAAACCTTTCTTTCACCCGTTAATAAAACCCAAGGCAATTTTGTGTTTCAAATCGTCGAGTTCCGCTGGCTACCGATTCCTGGTAAAAACGCTTAACGAAGTTACGACTCTTTCGACGACACTGAAGAGAAAAAAAAGGGGAGAGGGCTGGAAAAAGCTAAGAGGAAAAAAGAAGCTGAGAGCCATGGGAACAGTGTACTGTGTCGAAGCGAACCGTAGAAAACGAAGAGGAACCCGATGGTAGGAATTCGAGCAGCGAACCGAATGGAATTAAATAAAACATGAGTCACCGTAGTTCGGAGTTCAAGAAGTTGCTAGGCAGCAGGCGTTAATAGACTGAGCCCGAAAGAGCGTAAAAGAATCCTTGACGTCCGAGGATGGGCAAACACCTGTAACACCGTGTTGGAGTACACGTGCCTCACGTGCCCGGGCGTGGCCGTGACGAAGGTGGCGATGATCGCGCAAAAAGCAGCCGTGACAAAAAGTCGATCAGCTCGTGCTGATCGAAAACTTGGAATATCCGCGCTGAAACGGTCTGTGGAAGCGTCACGGGGTTACGTTTACCTGGAGACACGAAAACAGTACGCGTGACTTTAGGAATTTTTCGAGCTGGGTCAATTTTGACCAGTGATATTCAATTTCACATCTTGCGTGGTTGATGTTACTGTGTTGGAGGTCGACACACTTTTTTCGTTCAGTTATTACAGACGACGATAACGTTGGTTACGTTTTCTTTGAACAACTTAGCAATCGTAGTTTTCTACACGAGTTCGATTATTTATTTTATGTTTAATTGTTTTCGAGAAGAATTAGTAAAAAAGAGGCAACCAAATTAGCAGTCGTCCAAGTGTGACCTTTTGGAAATAATTCCAATTGAATCGAAGATCAGAATTGTTCTTTTATATAATATTTGTATATATTCTAGATGCTATGAAAAATATTCGGTTATTATTATATGTATTAAGTCTAAGATTTTTTTTAGACATGAAAATATATTTATTCTATAATGTATTGTCCATTCTGTTATATGATCTTTTACTATCTTTTGGGCAAATTCATGATACTGGGTTTGTAAAAGTCTTCACCAAGTTAAAACAAACACCACCATAAACCGAACGAACTTTTTAGCCAACATAATATTATAACTCGGTTATATGTGTGTGGGTGTATGCCGATTCAAGTCCCATTTGTAAGAAGCTCACGTGTTTTTGCAGTGACTTGATCTTTGAAAAGAAAGATATAAGCATTTCTTTGAAGGTAATTATTCTAAAAACCTGTAATTTGCAACTTAATCTTCGACTATCGATAGAATGGACATAGTCGCATGCTCTCAAGCAACACTGGAACAGCTAAAAACAAAAATCAGTATTAGTATCAACGATGACGTAAATACCTATGCGAGTTAACAAAGATTGCACGTAGCTCGTCGAGGAAATGTTGAACCTTTACCCAAGATCACTGTTCAGTAGAATCATCATTCCATGTCAGACACGCAACCAGTCACTGATGCGCCTAACTTCGATGTTCACCATTGCAATTCTAGCTAGCAAAGGCTTGATTACGACTCTATCGTTACGGAACACAGTCTTCTCTGTAATTGGATAATTAGTTTGTGTAAATGGGTGACCATCTGGGAACTCCATACGCCGTTGGCGACTAGCAATTTTTTGAAGTTTATCTGAAAGCAATAAAAATAGAATATAAGCTACTCGCCTTTCGAATTTTCTTTTAATTTATATAAACCTTCTTTAACCTTTCCATAACATCCCCAGTATAGGATAATTAATGTATGATCTTCACTATAATCAACATCGTGTTTGAAGTTCATCTGAAAGAAATAAAAATAGAATATTAGCTACTCGCTTTTCGAATTTTCTCTTAATTTATATAAACCTTCTTTAACCTTTGCATAACATCCCCAGTATAGGATAATTAATGTATGATCTTCACTATAATCAACATCGTGTTTGAAGTTCATCTGAAAGAAATAAAAATAGAATATTAGCTACTCGCTTTTCGAATTTTCTTTTAATTTATATAAACCTTCTTTAACCTTTCCATAACATCTCTAGTATAGGATAATTAATGTATGATCTTCACTACAGTAAACGTCATTTCTCCTTAAAACAAAGAAATCAAATTTTGTCTTCAGCATCTCTAATAATCCAATCAAAGACTATACAACTAGCCAATTTCTACTCTTTGGGGACCTACTCCAGACCTAATCATGAATCCCCAATATCACAACTGTCGATACAAAAGACATTTCATTGCAAAACCAACTCCCATCGAGAAAGAAAGAAGAAATACGCCAACACGTTTTATTCAATTCCCTGACCTTGGGGTGCGTTGTTTCTTTCTGGTTAGCGAATTGGCAAGCATCTTGGCAGGTTGTCGCGCCAGACAACGAGGCTTCAATCTCTCGAGCACGTTACAACGCTTTCCCGCGTGCGTAGAATGAACCCGCGCGAATGGGATCGGACAGTCAGCATGACTCCGCGATGCTAGCCCTCGATCATGGTGTCCCGCTGACTATTTATCTTGTTATATCGAGGTGATTCGATTCTAACAGGAGATCAATGACGGGCCACCGACCTCCTCGGCTTTCCAGCTCCTTGTTCAGCGCACTTCGACTTCCTGGACTTGGTGGTTGGTGAGGACCCTCGCTTCGAACTAGACTACTGTAGTAAATTTCAATGAAAACTTGAGGAAGCTTCGTGGACTCTAATGATGGAGATGGATTCTAGATAAAGGTAATTGGTGTAATTTGTATCTTACAAAATTTGAAAATTGAGGAAGAATGAGGGGAAAATTGTATCAGAAGTCCTTGATGACTTTAGAGTTGATTGGATGAAATAGTGCATCGATACTTTTTTGTTTTTTGGTAAGTCACAAGACACATGTCTTCTCTCCAATGGTGGTAGGCAATTTGATACTTTATCTTGATGTCACAGAACCAAAAGGTAGAAACTTAGAACGACTAAGAAAGAATAACGAATGATATTCTTATAAGAACGACGAATAAGAAAGAATAACCAAAACATAATTGTCAGTAGTGTTACAATTTTGATGTGACTGTTGGAGTTAATCGATTTGTGCAGTGAACGGCTCATACGATGCAAGGATGAACAAAATCCTCGATACGATGTCGATAAAAATAAATATACAACTACATTGAATCCAATAAATTAATTTACTTCAATAAGAGTTCTTTAGAATGAGACTCCCAATTTGACCACGAATTGTTCTAGTTGACTCAGGGTAAGAAATTCCTATTTCTGGCTGGAATCGACCAGAAACGCTTCGAGTTCGACCCAATCGGAAGAATCCTGGACGTGAATCAATAATGCGAGGACGATCCGAAGAATAGTGGTATAACGTGCGAGCTAACACTTAGCTGGAGCGACAAAGGCACGTCTGCCAGACCATGTGTTGCCTAATGGTCGCGTTCGACAGTCGCCCAACAAATATTTATTGCTGCTCACCGGATGGCGAATGTAAACGTTCCGGTCAGCTCTAATGGAGAACACCTAATTCCGTCCACGTGGTTGTCGACGTTTCTTTCTCCTCACGAAATTAATTTGACCATCGGATGATAACTGGCGAACGTACATGGAAAGCATCTTCTTTAAATGACTCTACTACCTGTGTTCGAAACGAGAAGATAATATATGTAATTTACGACTTGATGTTTATTGATACACAGGGTGGAGCAATAATTCTAGCTTGAATATTTCTGTTATTTATAGTTCTATGATTATAGTCCTTGTCAAAGTGAAGTTGCGTTGTATTTAGGTATACTTATAATTAGATCGAGGGTGTTTATGCAAATTCATATTTTTATAGATTCAAATAAAGAACTGAAATTTAAATGAAACTATATTTTGTCTTGTGTTGAAATTTCGTCTATTTTTGCATTTATGCTCGTCCTCATACTTTCCCCCATATTTTCACTTGCCAAATATTCATAAAAATTGAATATCTTCTATTCCTCTAACAAATGTTTCACAATTTCATAATTCTAATACAAATCTAAGATTGAGGAAAGCAGAAACCACAGGCAGAAACATTGTAGATACATCAAGCTTCACTCAATACTAACATGAATTTTAATAACATAAAATGTGCATGCATGTAATTATATTTTTTGTATTTTGAATCAACTGACTAGCAGACAAGTTTATATCATCAAAGCTCGTCAGATTCCCAACAATGCACCACGAGAAATAAAGTGAAATAAAATTTGGTGAAATGCAGCCTAGACGAGTTAGTTGTGGGGAGACTCGGAGTAAAGCTTGATTAATTGAAGCCTCGAACCGAACGTTCACGAATAGGGCCACGGGCCAGGTATTTCGCTAATCAAAGAAAACGTCGCGAGAACGTGAACTGTACGTCAAGACAACAGAACCAAACAACGAGGGCGGACGGAGACGGGGACCGGAACACGCGTCAACCCGTCACTATGGCCGAAATGTCGGCAGATGTTTGCGTAGGTCGCTAATGTAATATCGTTTGCTCACAGAGTATCGAATGTTGCCGACAAAACTCGCGAGGAATGCTCAAAACGGTTTACCAGTAACCAAATAAAAATATATTGAATAGCTTTCACCTGGTGTATCGTCACAAACTTTTCGAGAAGAACAAAATTGTGTACGAAAATATATTTAAAATAGTTTAAATAGATTAAAATACTATTCATCATTCAAGAGAAAATTGGACAAGATTCGAATCTGATTAAACGTAAATAATAATGAAATCTATACATATTTTTATTTATTTTCTGAATATGATAAGTAATTTATATCGTCGGTCACGCTACTACCTCACGCTACTAACTACGACTGGGAAAATAATTTCCCTCCGGTAGATTGCAGACTGTAAATCATGCACGAGCTCTAAACCTTTCCTACAGGGAATAAATTTTCTAAAACTATCCCGAGACACAAACGAAACATACGTGGATAAATACTTCGTTAATCAATATAATATTACTATTTCATTTTTGATAAATGCATATGTATATTCTGGCTAAGTCTTGCATACAGATAATAATTTGTGTTAATTAAAATTCACCTTTCAATTCATATCTAATTATCATTGAATCTCATATATTATATATGAGAAGAGGAAGAGGAATAACAACTCACACTATGTTATTAAACATAAAGTAAACAATTTTTGACAAAACAAAAGTCTTGATAAACCTTAACCATGTATCCATGTACTTTATTTAAAGTGACAAACTATTTGACTATAGTTATTGCACTTATAAACCTTAACCAGCCCTGGATGAATGCGAAGAGGTTAAATGATCCGCGAGAAGGAAATGGGAATGCATGAAATAACAGAAGCACCATTCGGACTAACCGCTGACCCCATTGGAAGATCGTTCTAAGCACGGACATCTAATTTGCGCGAACCAGGCGCGTTTTAGATTAATCGCTAGGCGGGACACCCTGGCGCTAATTAACTTATCATCGATGGACACACCCGCGGCGCAAACCAGCGCGAAAAGCATCGGGAATCCGTGGATGTGTAATAATAAATACGGCAGCGTCGATGGAATAATAAATAAAAGGCTCGCGAGCATAAATCGCTTTCCTATTAGCGCCGAGACACGTGCGAGAGCCTCCCTCGAGCATGCGTTTCACCGATTTCCCGCGAAGCAACTTGTTTATGGTTAACTGGTCAAACGATCGCCGAGACCTGTTCGAGAACTAGCCGTGGTTCGCCTATCGAACGACCAGCGAAACTTTATTCCACCGTTTTTCAGAATAATGTTCAGGATTTACGACCAATCGGTTCGATGGGGGTTAATTCTTGCCGATCCTCTTCTGGTTACCCTTCACGCGGAGGATTTTTCTGTGACCTTTATTTATATTCATCACTGTAAATTAAATTGGTGGTTGCTTTCATTTATTTGTAGTTTCACTATGTGGTATGATTTCATTTTTATTATTTAACTCATATTTTTATTTAGCTGCATTCTTCGCTAAAAATCTTTTAGCATATTCATAATTGTACGTTAAATTAGTACTTGGTTCCCTTTATTTGCACTTTCATTATGTAGCATGTTTTTACTTTCATTTAGTTCTACGTTCTTGGCGGAAAGTCGTTTAGTGTATTCATCATTATACATTAAATTAAGTAGCTCCTTTCATTTATTTTTATTATTTACTTCATATTTTTATTTAGCTGCATTTTTCGCTGAAAATCTTTTAGCATATTCATAATTGTACGTTAAATTAGTACTTGGTTCCCTTTATTTGCACTTTCATTATATAGCATGTTTTTACTTTCATTTAGTTCTACGTTCTTGGCGGAAAATCGTTTAGTATATTCATCATTGTACATTAAATTAATAGTTACCTTTATTTATTTCTATTTAATTATGTAGCATATTTTCGTTCTCATTATTAAATTCACATTTCTGTCTAGCTACCTTCTTGGCTAAAAATGGTAGCATCCTCTCAGGTTCAAAAACGATGATAACGTATATAAGTGTTTGGTAAAACAATAACTAGTAAATTACATAAAAAAAACAATCTTACAAATAGGACAAAAATATTGATTTCAAATCAGTATACCTCCTACACAACAATAGTCTTCTTCTTCTTCTTCTTCTTCTTCTTCCTCACTCGTTCAAATCGTCCACTAAAGTCTGACAATTAGGAGTAATCGAGCCATTCGAAACAGCGCAATCCGCAGCAAACTTCCAAGCACAATCCGCGAACTGCGTTATTTGTCCACGACGAACCGTCTGGTCTTCAAACGCAATCGAAGATTGTTCCGCAGGATCGTAACTCGCGCCGACCAATGGCCATTTGCGTGATCGCCGCGCGAAATAGTTCTCGCGGCACTGCGCGACGATTCGACGAGTAAACGACGATGACAGAAGCGATTCAGACATTGTTCGCGTCCTCTGTAATTTAACGGCGCGCCGAATGGTGGCGACGTTCCTCTACGATTTTACGACTCGGCTCTTCCAGCCGGCACTCTGGAAACAAAGTTTTCGCGTTAACCAGGAACTTTTCAGCTACGAAACGTTTTGGGAGAAGAAGAGACAAATTATACTTTCGAATACCAGCCTTCGAGTCCCAGATTCCACTGGTATCTGTCCAATCGATCTCGCGTTTGCTTCTGAGCGAAAATTCGGTTTGAAAGTATAGTATTTGGGGGGCGCAATCGACACTGGAAAGGACTTGGGTAGAAAATCTGTAATTATAAAGTTTAGGGTAGATTGATGGATGGTACACGAAATATGGTGAGGTCTCGAGTTTGATTTGTGGATCTAGAATTTTAACAACTAGCTTCGTTTTAATAGATAAATATTATGTTGCTTCTTGCGAGAAAGATTTAATTTTTTCTCGGGCCCTTTTAACACGTTGACTCCCACGCTAAGTTTTGTGAAAATTTGTCTGAAGCTTGAACTTAGTATTCAGATAATTGGAAACCACAAATCGCAGCTTTATCTTGCAACCTTATCAGAAATCAGGAATATTATCCAAATTCATTTTATATAATATCTCATCTTCTGAATTAATTTGATTAATTACCAGTAAAAAGTCCTGTCACCCATATATGAGTAACCAACGTGTTAAAACAAACATAAAAAGTATACATTATAAAATTGAAGATCCGTCACCTTTTCTATATATAATTGCATAGAGTACGTTACCTTAGCCTAAGCATTTAATTCCTTCCCATCTGTACGAAGTTCATCCCTCTCCACAAATAAATAAATCGCTCGTCTGGCCACACCCGTTATCAGTCGATAAACTTTCAAAATAAATTACTCCAACGCTACGGGAAAACAACGGTATACGCGGCTAGCATTATACTTATACTAATCAAGTGCAACCATTAATTACTCTGGATGTTCTTCAGGCGTCCCATAAAGTCACGAATTTTAATCGGCAAAGTAAATTTTATTTATCAAACGCGCCGGCGAGAGACGATACACATCGACCAATTACTTTTTAATAAACTGTGGACAGGTGTTTGCCCGGATGAAAATTTATCGTGTAATTAAACGAGTCCCATTGGCGCGTCTCGGGCGGCGGGTACAACGATATCATCGGCGGCGGCTATATTTTACACAGTAGCCTCGAGTAATTTAGTAAAACGCTCGGCCGAGCGTGGAAAAAGAGATCGAGACGAACGGGAGGGGGTCCTGGAACCGATAAAAATTGAATTACAACGTATTTTAATCGCATCGAGCAATCGATTAGTCACGATCGTAGATCAACGACCGCCCACGCGGACGGTCGAGCTATAAATACCAAGCAACGAATACTCGTGATCCCGCGTCTCTTAATTCGTGACCGCTGTAATTCGTGTCAGCATCCTTAATGGCGGCCGTGTCGATAATTTTACGAAAACAGGATATTTAGTGAGTGCCCGTGCCGCAATTCTTTCTTTTTAATTATCTTTGTATTCGTTAAAGGTAGTCTCAATGGAAACTGTCTCCATGTTACTTCGCCAGCAATGGACGTCTGAATATTAACAAAATCGCTGAAGTAGTTGAGATTTCAGTAGTTTGATCCTGATGAATGGACGTGATCCCCTTTGGAATCTTTATTTTATTGAGTATTCTGCAAGAAAAGAATTGTATTTATGACAAAGATTGGGAAAAACTTATACAAAAATAGTAATATTAGTTGTATGGCTACTTTCTATTGCAAATTAAATTTACAGAAAGTAATTTATAACTCATCTTCCTTTCTGTGTATTTTGGCACGAAATACAGTCAGTTATGAAGTACTTGTACTCTCTATGTTTATTAAAGGTCTAAATTAGTTTGGTGTTGATGTTTTCAAATAAATTTTCATTATGAATATGTACATAAATAAGGTTCACACATGTACATATACATTTACAATGAAAAATTCATTTCATCAATTCATTAAACTTGTCATTTGATTTAGACTTTCAAGAGATATTGATATTAAGGGGAGCGAATAGTAATACAAATTTTAATCAACAACAAATATTCAGTCACTTATAATTCTACTTTAAGTAAAAATTTTCATTTGACATTTTGTTACATTAAATTACCAATCTTCTAAGTCTATATTAAAACTAGAATTATAAGTGATTGATTATAAAGAAACTCTGAATTCAATTGCAACATACACGTTTAACGCACCGAATAACACCACTTCGAATAAAGCTCTTCTGCGTGAAAATGGACTAAAAACGTGAACCGCAAACAAAGCATGTTCATGCACTACTATAAGTAATTTTTATTTTATGATAAGTACCAAAACTCCGCATCTGGTGTAACCCTGTAATCGTGGCTCGCGTTATCGCGACGAATATGAACTCCCCGTGAAATCATGGAAACGTGAAAACGAAGACGTCTTCGTGGAAACCAGCGTTTCCCTTCTGGCACGTCTCCTCGTAATGGACATCGAACCTCTGGTTCGTCCAGACCGATCAGGAATTAGATAGATCGAGCACGGTCGAGAAGTCGACGAGCTAACACGACGTGGCTCCGATCACCGTTTCTCACCGCCATGGGAAGATTTTCCCAGTGACCGTATCCTCGTGCACGGCTGGAAAAAGCCTGCAACGCGAATAGCCGGATCAGAACTGGTATCTCGAGATCAATATTCATCCAGCTTCTTACCCCACCCCCTGTCATTACGATTTGTTACTCCTGTTCCCTTCCTCCCATTTTCCGCGTTCCGTGGCTTGGTCTTCTTCCATGTCTTCTTACTTAACCGGGCATTCTTCGATCCGATATTTTCTCCTGTCGACGCGTCCAGTTGTCGGGGACGTATGAATAAATGCAGCCTCTCATCGCGATCATCTCCTGTAACGTAAAACGACGATGATGTCACTGGATGCGTGTTGGAATAGATCAAATTACAATTGATCGATGCGAGTTAGGAAACAAAATTAAATACGTAGGTAGCCGGTTACTTAGAGTGTGCAGAAACTTATGATTAAAATTTAAAATCGATAGACTTTTGAGGAAGCTTACTTAGCTCTCTGTGGGCGAGACTACTTACTTTAAATGGTATCTCTGTCTACAAGTTGCTACAAATCTTGCTACAAATAAATAACACAGGCAGGGTGAAACTTGGATATGTAGAACGCAGAGTGGATAAAGCAGATCACTCTGCTGTAATACTTTTAGAATTATTCGTGTTTTAGTGTTAGCGAGTCTTGTCAACAGAATACACCGTACTAGAAAGTATCTACCATACGAGTACCTACCCCTCGAAAGACTTTCTTTAACAACCCCAAAATTCAATCAATCGGTAATCCTCGAAACACCTTAATTTTCGTTTAATTAAAATAGACGTGACGAGAACTTTCGTCCATAAATCTGACAAAGAAATTGCAGCTTTCTTGTAGGAAGCAGGTGCCTTTTAAATAGCTTGCAAGCCACCGAGGTAGCTCGTTTGTAGCAAAAACAAATAAAAACTCTCCATTCAGATAACAGTCAGGCAATAGCAATTCGCAGAGCAAACAAGGATCACAATGGTACGAGTAAATTAGCCTTATCTCAGACAAACGGCGGCAATTGCACCGAAAACGCGTCGCTATTAATAAGGCTAGCCGCGCTCGCGAGTTTCTCGGCAATTATTCAGATGACTGTGTGAATAATTACTTGCTATTCGGCCCGTTTGCCGCGTTAAGTGGGCTGGCCGATCGCTATCTGAACGTAGCCGACCGTTTGATTAACCGTTGATTATTCAATTAAGGAAAAGTATTTCGTCACGGTCAATTGAATGCCCGCTCGCGGCTGTAATAAAGCGCGAATGTGGCGCAAAACCGTCCCTGAAACTTCGTAACCAATTAATCCGTCTATTGTTACGGGATGCGAGGTAAATACATGGCACGGGAAACTGGAGAAGGGAGGCGAAAAAAGAAATTCAGAAAGAAACCGAATGGGAATAGAAAGGCGGGAGGGAAGGGAAGGGAGGAGGGGAACGAGCACCTGAGGGGATATTAACTAATTCCGTTCGATTAAAACAACAAAGTCCAGGGAACGGCAAGAACTCCTGGGACCGTCTCGACAGACTTGTTCACGTGGCGGGAACTCGTGCTTGCTTCGTCACCCTCCAAGCCACAATTTCTTCACACTAATTACCGATCCGTCCCGCCCACCTGACAAGTGAGAAAGTGTGAAACACTCGGAGGCCGATCCTGAACCCCGCTACTAATTGTGAGTCCGCTCTGGTCGCGACGATTCCGCGACAATTTCGCGATGCAATCCACTAGATCACCTAAGTCTATTAGGGGAAAATATCGAGCCGATTGGTGGCTACATTGGAAGTACTATGTGTAGTTATTTAAATAAAAGGAAATTTTTAAATTGAGCGCATATAGGTACGAAATGATATCGGTGTTCTCATAGGTGGTGAATGAAAATACGAAGAATAGTTATCGAATTGAATGGAAATAATGGGTATTCGAGAAGCGAGTATGGGGAAGCGAGAATGCTACGCAGGCTTGTAAACAAATTTGTGATTTTTACGAACAAAATGCTGTATCAAAATTTTGATGTCAAAGATGCATCACGCTGTGGTGGACTAATCACAGAAGGATGCGATGAAATCATGCAAATAATTGAGAAACGCCACGAACTTTTTCGAATACCCAATATATAAATTAGCTAAGTTGTGTGTGTGCATACATTTCCAAAACATTTCTTTATTTCTCATTTCTTTCGAAATAAATGTAACATCATTTAATTTAGACAAATTTCTTCAATAAAGATGGAGAGTACGAATACTTATGGAACTGTGTATAGAGAGGCATAAATATCAGCAATGTCGGCAATAGCTATTTGAACAGATGAAAATATTAGTTTGTCTGCAAAGTCCATGCCGATTTTTGGTAGCTGGTAAAGATCTAAATATATCGGGTGATTAAAGACAAATAACATGTGTATATCCCTTAAAAGGTGAAAAGGTTATGGATCAAAACGGAGCTTACGTAATTCAATAAATAAAATATTAAAATTCCCTAAAATGTGCATTTGAATTTTTCTTAAAAATTTGCACAAACTTTCTGGACAACCCAATATTAAGACCAACTGCGTCCAACTGAGTAACTACAAATAGGTACTACATTTATCTACATGGAATGTAGAAAATTCTACAAACATCCACTAAAATGGATGAAAATTGTACTATTCAAATAGGAGAAGATTAGAATCGTCCACGAAAGTATTCGATTGCAACTCGTTTGGGGTGTTCAGGGACCCTCCCATCTCGATGAAATTTATCAGGACCAATTCGTTCGGCACGAAGATCGAGATAGAGAGATCGATTTACGTGAATAATGAAACGAAGAAGAAACTTCCTCGTCGATAAATTTAACGCGTTACGGAACCGCGACCGGCACTTTGCCGAAGAACAAGAGTGTTCCACGTCGTTAGACTCCGAGGTTACGTCCGGGGTTCGAGAGTCCCATGGTGGTCCCCCTCGACCAGGTGGGCAGCCCCCACCGATGGTAACTAATTAAATCATGAAAAAGGCGGTGAACGTGCGTCCTACAGTTTTTACGAAATTAATAAACCGGAACCACCAGTGGCTCTCACGAGCTCTTCCTCCGTGAAACGTTTAACGAGAAACTCGAGGGAGGATGAACAGTGACAACGGTTCCAAGAAATTCCAACCCATTCCAGAACTTACGCTACTTTCGTCATGCTTTAATGTTCATAATTTTGTGAATTTGTAAAACTTGATAACTAATTCATTCATCTGATAATTAAAAATTGAAAAATTACATTGTTTGTGTATAAATGAATTATATATTTAATCTTTACCATGTTCAATAATATGTATATCGTGTATATTTGATTTTTATTTCATGTTGTTAGACCATTACTCTTTATTATTCCTTTTTATCGTACTGGAAACTGTACAATACTTCTGCATCCTATTTTCATTTCATTACTCTTCAATACATGATCATTTTGTCTATAATGCGTTATAAATATTATCAGTAGACTGTGGATGTTTATACAAATTTATATCTTTATATACACTGACGAAGAACAGATATTGTACTTAAATTAAAGTATGTTTCGTCTTTTTAATATTATAACGTGCATTTTATTTATCAGATTTCATACATCTATGCGTTTATAGACAAAAATGCATAAATATATCTGCTAGTTTAATTATTAATGAGCTCCTTCCTCTACTAGTAGTATTTCTCAGCTAGTACTACTCATTCACTCACTGTCTAATCTCCCAAACTAACACTGATATGCAATTGAGAATATTTTTAGAATTCTTAGGTTAAAAGTCACGTTTAAAATCTTGGTCCAAAAGGATTAATTACAAAACGAGGAAGAGTAAGGTACAAGGAAAATTCAGTGCCATCAGATTTTGTGGGTTAGCTCTATTTTTTAAATAACGCTCGAAAGCCTGTTGATCACAGCTCGGTTATGGGGGAGACCTTAAACGTTGTTAGAAGCGTGACAAATACATTTAACACCTACTTTCAAATTACTCAGCATGACGTTACAGAAAGATTGGGTCCCCGATAAAAACCTCCTATTTCTTCGTTCACCGCTCATCCGCCCAGTAGTTTGCATCTCCACAAAAAGCTTTTTGCCGTGGTCGCCTCGCGCTGCGTCGAATCGATAAAGTATTAATCGAAGTGACCATTGGTTCCCCGGTTTCTTGCGCGGACCTCTTGAATGAGCTACCATCTAACACTTAACTGATTCGCGTCACCTGAATTTTGTGCACTCCGCAAACCTGGCTGGAGCTCGTCCTTGACCACTTAAAAATAATTAACAAATCCAGGGAATTTTTGGAAATTGCTAATTTATACGCAAACGCGGGAAAAGTAGAGTAAGATGGAACTTAAATAAATTTAGTTAAAATAGTTTGAAAATGAGCAATGGTCTAAGCTTGCAAGGTAAAAATTATGCTATAGTAGGAATTGATATAAACGCGTAAACATCGAGTGCTATTCTCGTAATTCCTTCTACCAATGTTCGAAGCTTCCAAAGTAAAGGTTACACTATCTCAAGAATTAATATAAGTCCGCAAACATTGAGAGCTATTTTTAGAATTTCTTTTAGCAATGTTTTAAACTTCCAAAGTAAAGATTTTACCATCCTAGGAGTTGATATAAACGCGCAGACATCGAGTGCTATTCTCGAAATTCCTTCTAGCAATGTTCGAAGCTTCCAAGTTAAAGATCATACCCTTAAAATTCTTTCTACCCTGAGATCACCATAACGAAAACTATGAAACAGAAAAACCATAAACATCGTCCCTCAAATTTGCATTTACTTTACCCATTTACTTACCCATTCACCACCCACAAAAAACTTCCCACTCAGAAGATCGAATCGCCTAAAAATTCCTTCTTGCCTGAGATCACCATAACGAAAACTATGAAACAGAAAAACCACAAACGTCATCCCTCATTCTGTTTACAGATTCACCACCCCTAAGAAACTCCCATTCAAACGAAACAGTCGCCAGCAGGGTCCAGCATCATACAAATCATCGTAACGCGATAAAACAACGATCAAGCGTTCTCCAAGCAACCCCTACCCACCCTCGGCGAAAAGATGATTGGCGAGCAGCGGGGTGAAACGAATTTTACCCGTCCGAGGTCGTCCTCGAGTTGTCGAACGCGCGATGGGAATAAAACGCGAAACTGTAAATTGTGCGTGGGAAGAATCGGTCCCTGGGCGGTCGTGGCGGTCGGAGCCATGCTTTTCGTGGCTGAAAGCTGGAAACCCACCCTTGGCGCGTCCAGAGGGTTGATCTCCCGCGGTACCAGGAAAAAGTCGAGGAAAGAAACGACACTGAACGATTTAAATGCGCGTTCGAGTGTTCGTGGGGCGGAGGTGGGCCTCGAAGGAACCGAAGGAAATTTGTTACGTTATGTCGGGGTATCACTCCCCAGTGAATATGAAGGAAGATTTCTTGGTTTGGGAAAATCGCAAGGAGAGGGCGAGATGGTCCTCTCGACACGATGGGACTCGAAGGTTTCGGGGGTTTGGCGCGGTCATCCTTCGAGGAAGCTGGAACGGGTGGAGGGGATACAGAGCATGGTGCCAGGAATATAAAACGGGGGATAAAAGAGACGGCGGACACATATGCGACTCGTAAAAGCTCTCGTGAAAAGCTGCATCCGTCCCCGTCGAGACCTACCCGTCGAACTCGGCCTCTCCTACATTTCAATGACGCCAACTGCCATGGCGGTCCTTCACGTTTTCATCCGAAGGGAGGTTTGCGTGAAGTTTCGCGCGTGCTGGTGTCGAAATTCTTGCGGCAGGCATTCAGGGATGTA